TCTGGAGAAGAGACAAAACAAGAGGTCAGTGTGTGTGTGAGTGTGTGTGTGTGTGTGTGTGTGTGTGTGTTCGGACTCTGGCTGTAGATTTTAAATACAATAAGGCCTTCTGCTGACTTCAAATGAAATACCGAACTCAAGGCAAAGAGCTGCCCTGTTTATTACGTCTCAACCACCTGCTCCACACCGAGAGGAGAAGGAAGGGGACTCGGGTGACACCAGACGTGAAGGTACGAAGCCCGTTTAAGTTTTATCATGTCGGGAGAGAATCTGAAGCAAACTCGTCGCTTTTAGTAGGTCAAAATACGCAACTGCACAGTAATGGTACCTCCGTATCTGACTGCTGATTGTCAAAGTCCCTTCCTTATCTGTCCTCAAGTGACCTTTGATTCAAAGTCAATTAATGTAGGAACACTGAGGAATGTATTAAATCAAAATTCATCGAGATTTCTTTTTTTTTTTTAAAGCACTTTCTGAGTTTCTGTTCTGTAAACTATCTACAGTTTGGTTTAAACTGTGGCCACGTTATACCGTAACCATCAGTGTGACACTGCAACGTTGATGATACAATGGTTAGATGAAACCGGGGTCGGGTGCATGAGATGTCAAACGAGGGCGGATCTTCTCGGGGGTCGGTTGGCTTAAGCGTCCTTCTTCTTGATGATGAGCGGCCCGACGTTGTCCCCGGTCTCCTCGTTGTGTTTGGTGTGGGCTCCGTCGCAGAAAGGGAACTGCAAGGCGGAGAAAACAGTGTCAGAGGACAACAAGAGCAGCTCTTATCAAAAAAAAAGTTTACGCCCTTTGTACATTATGATACGATTGAACGTCACCCAATCGCGATTTAAAAATCTCCCACGAAGCCTCTCGGAAACTGTGACATAAAAACAGCTGTACAAAGGATTGTTCTGATCAGCTTTTGAGCAGACATGTTATCTATATATATTAGCCTCAGCCTTTAATCTTTATGACCATTATAAAAAGGTAATCGCTCTAGTTAAGTCCCCTAATGGTCAGTGGTTATGAATGAGCAAACTGTGATTTCCCTTCTTCTTCAAGTCCATGAGGATTTCTCTCTCTATTGAGGACTTCAAGAACCACTTGGGTGCATTTCAATACGAGGTCTCTCATTTTAAAATGTCACATCTACTCAGTTAAATTCATATTCTTACAAAAGATAAGAGGTCAGTGTCACCAAGTGTTCAATTTACTACTGTACAACACTAATGACAGCCTGCCTCTCAGTTTGTCCTCTGATGCAGTTAACATGGCTCTATGGGTTGAAAATGGGTGTTAAAACTAAAGATTTCATTAGCAGTCATGTGGCATTATAAACAGCAGCAGGACATTTAACTGTAAAAAGCTACAGACCCCTAATAAGTTGATTTGCTAGCTCCAGTTACGCAGACACTAACGAATGCCTCTAAAGTAGAGGGCTGACCTTCTTTGACTTCCAGCAGCGGCAGTACACAGCCTTGGTGCCGATGTCCTCCATGTCGAAGCTGTGGACCACTTTAGGACTGTCTTTACTGATGGATGTGTTCACCAGGCCCTTTTTACAGCTCCGCCCGCTCAGGTAATGGCTGACTAGGAAACCTCCGATGCCTGCAACCACTGCGACCGGCACCGCAACCACGAAATGCTCTGGAGAGAGAGAGAGAGAGAGAGAGGAAGACCGGTCTCTAAAACAGGATCAACTGCATGTCTGTTTTACTGGATTTCATTACTCAGTACAGGTGTATATAATAAGCTGGAGGCTGAATGACTTCCAGGAATATGTGGTAGCCAACTGAGCATTTAACTAACATTTGTATATAAAAGGTTTTAATCCATTTTAATCTAGGTTTAATGTACAATTATAGTTTTCTAGTTTCTAATCTGCCTGTTGACATTGTTCCCACTGAAAGTAAATAAAAAAGTGCTGCAGCTTGGTGATAAATATATAAACTGAATCTTCCACAGGTTGAGAAGTAACAAATGTTTTTTAAAAAAAAGGTTTTTGACTCTTTAAACTGGACCCAAAATAAATATCCAACCATCAGAGGTCAGAAACAACATTATATGTGAGCCACAAATCACATGAAATCTGACCTTTATACAGATTCAGGTCTGATTTTATGACTTTTAAAACACTCCAGGTTGTTGACACTCCTCCAGCAGGTCACTTCAGGACCTGCTCACACAGGAATCTGATATTGGGCCCCACATTTAACCACTAATGTGACCCGAGGCTCGCAGTGTGATCGTAGCCTTAAGACACAAAAGAAAGCGGACAACATGACAGGATATGCACAGTGGCTTTTTGCACGTTGCTGCTGTGAAATTGGCCCGTTTTTCTTTTTGCAGGGCGATGAGGAGGATTATCCAGGTCCACTGACCATCACATGATGTGGAGCCTAAGACAAGAGGAACAGGGGCCCTGCTGTCAGTGTGGATCAGCAGGTTCACAGATTAGCTGCCGCACTACCGGAGCCACTACAGGCCATGATACATAAAAGGGTCTCTGCTGTGGGTGGTGGGATCCTCAGCGCCGCTTTCAAAGCTGATGGGGCCAAAACTAAAGTTGGAAACACATGTGGCTGTTCGCCAGCTGCAGGAAAACGCTGTTGACACTACAATGAGTAAGCAACTACCTGTGGAGATCATAGCATCTGTCGTTTTAAAGGGTTATTCGTGCAGTTTAGCAGAATTAGTCTCCGTATAACCGCGTTGTTTCCTACAAACATTGTATTGTTGTTAGTTAGGTCGCAGACATGTTGAGTTCCCAACGAGCGGCGGCAAAACGAAAAAGAGTCATTTTAATGTTATATTAGCTGGATTTGTTGATATTTTTACCTTTCGATAACCTGAATCCCGAGCTGGGCAGTGCGGGTACACCCGGGGTCGCCATGCTTTCCCTGGACGGTGTGTTGTTTGTGGTCGGTGATCAACGACAAGGTCAACCGGAGAGTCTTATGTGAACTCTGGCAGCGGCTGCGTCACTGTGCGGCAACCAATCAGGTGCGAGGAGGCCGATTGGTATATTCTGCCAGAGCGAGAGGGAAATCCCCCAGCGTACTTCCGGCTTCGCTTTTAACTGCCGATCGAAGATTGAACTGCGAAAATAATCTCAAGATGTCACAGTCTCCTTTAGTGAATACGGTTTGTTTAGTTGGTAGCTTAGTCAACAAAAGGGACGTGTCAAAGCGTTAAATAAAGATTATAACGTTACGAATAACGTATGAGTTCATTAACTGTTGTATGAGACAGCATTGACCGTTGGTTTCCGCTGGAGGATATTTATCTTGATGGCTTCGAGCTTTGTTGAGGCCCACTTCCCTTTCCAGGAGCCATTTCTCCTGAACCGGATAAATGCGACGACAACTCGTTCTGGGTTTACTTTTATCAACATATTTTAACATAATACAACTTTATTATTCTATAGCAACTAACATTTGATATGTATGAACACTGAATGGCCGTAAGTTTAAATTTCAAGCACTTATTACACAGAAACACCAGCAGAGGGCGACACAACGACCCGCTATCAAAGAGACAAGAAACTAAACAAATAATAAAATGTTTAGTTTCTATAGATTAATATAATGCATTTTATTATGTGAATGCATTCATTTAACACCATACATCTGCAATTTAGCTTCCCTTACACACAGAGCATAAACAAACAGTTGATCTCCTACTTACAATTATTAAATCTCAATTAAAAAACCCGTTCAGTTAAGTTTTACTCATTGATCAGATGTTCCTTTATTTACAAAGAATGTATTGGTAGCAACAGTCAAATAACAGCTACACGCTCCTGTAAAACTGGCTTCTCGTCCCTTTCTTACCTCTGTACGTCCTCCAGAAGAGGGAATGAGTCGACGCAGGAGTCGTGGTTTTTATTACACAGTTTAATCAACACACAAAGCTCAACGAGCCTCTCAGGTAATTCAATATACAGAGGTTTTGTGCAAGAAGAGTGGGTTCTCCTCGCACCCAGAGCCCAAGCCAGTCCCGTAGCCATTTAAGATGTTAGCCTCTAATTTAACAATAGCAAAAAAACAAAACAAAAAGAAAACATAAACAGTTGGTCCTACTGTCAGCACTACATATATATATTACAGTAGTGTGGGCAAGAAAATGCTCAGTACACAATTGTAATGGACCAGTACAT